AGTTCAGTTCCAAAACTGGATTATATAACGGTATATATCCAGCCACAGTTCTGAAATTTTAAGTATTGACTTGTTTTTGCTGTAATTAAGACTACTTATATTCTTATGTTTCTCTGTGTACCCAGGGCTGAGTGATGGATCAAATATAAGGAATGCATTTTCCAACAGATTGTTATAGTGTGACAATATGAACTATCGCAGATACTGTGGTTCATATTGGCTGGTGATTGAAAGTGATTGCAGCAAAGAATTCACATAACATAAAGTACAAATAACCCCTTTGTCCATGGACCTGATATCCATGATTTCTATTAACCTAGACCAGTGGTTCTCAACCTGTGGGTCCCCAGATGTTTTGGCCTTCAACTCCCAGAAATCCCAGAAATCCTAGCAGTTGGTAAATTGGCTGGGATTTCTGAGATTTGTAGGCCAAAACATCTCGAGACCCACAAGTTGAGAAGCACTGCCCTAGACCCAAAGATACACTCTCCTGGAAGTGGTTTTTTAGGTTCTCCAGTGTTATTCTATAATATGCTTCGGGCCCGAATACAGTCAAAACAGATAAATCATTGTTATCCATGGTTTCAGGTATGCAGGGATGTGTGTGCCTTGGAGTATAGCCCTAGCAGATAATTGGGCCATACTGTATATACTGTTCAAATGCCCTCCACACATGAAAACCATTGAAAGTGAACATCTGCAAGGTCTTACTTGCTTGAAAGTCATTGAGGTCCTTGGATATCCCGGTGATACTCTCTATTATTTGGAAAGGGTTCTCACAATTAGTGTAAGGAAGAATCAGAATGCAGATATTGGAGATACTGCTTGAGGGGGTTGCATTACCATTGGTTTGAAATAAGTATTCTAGATGGAACAGTTTGGCCTGCACCCAGTAACAAGTTCAACAAGACCAGCCCGATTGAGTCCACTGCTGAATGCCAATTGATCAACTGCATATATTCCATTGAATCTGAGTCTACTTTTGTTGGGAACTGCAGTAAGATTACTGCAAACTTAATATAGTTGAAGGTTTGGGGGGGATAGGGGGAAGAGGTAGTCAATATCTGATCCTTCAAGTTGCCTGTTGACTTGTGGTAACTTCATAAATTTCATGGAGTTTCGATAGGTGAGGAAAATTCAGAAATGGTTTGGCCTGTTTCCTCTTCAGATATGTAACCTACAGCACCTTGCATTCATTGGCAGTCTTCCGTCCAAGTACTAACTAGGGCTGACCCTGCATGGCTTGCAAAATTGGCCAGAATCTGGTGCCTTTAGGGTAATCAGGCCTTTTTTAAAAGGCAGTACTGGAATCTTCAAATATTACATTCAGTATCCTGATTTAACTAATAGAGCTGGCAATTTCTTCTGAGTCAGGGTGTGCCCAGTCTGGTCCTTCAGCATTATGATTAGCAATTTATTTTTTAAAATGAAAAATATTATATTTTGGTTTATGCTTAATGTGGGCAGGAACTTCCACTGCATATTGTGAAAGGGAGCTTCGTTCCTTTTTCAAGCAAGCTTTCTGGCATTTTTGAATTCCCACGTCTCTAATTCTGCTCAGCCAAGTGTATAGAAGCAATAAACAATGATTTTCATGCCTCTCACAGAACCAGAACATTTAAAAGAAAGCAGGAATGCAAAAAATGTGGAACAGCAATCTGCATTATTGCTCATTAGAAGTACAATATAGAAAGCCCCCTGTCATAATTATGCTTTATAAGTCCCCCCCCCACACACACACAAGGGTTGAGAAAAGAGATATATAAATACTGTAAGTAAATAAATAATAAATAAATAAGTCAAATTCTCCAAATTTTTCTGGAAATCAAAGTTCATTTCTTTTGTTTTGTGTTTGCTTTTTGATAGTAGAAGGTGTTGGGGATCTGGTTAATAAATATAAGCAGCTCATTGGAGAGATCATGTGTTTAGATGGGGAGAAAGTGAAAACACAGTTTTCTTGCTAATCTAGTAGTGGGGAAAAAATCCAAGCTTAAAAAAAAGGAAACCAAAATCAGGAGGGCTTTTTTCTTTCAATGGAAAAAAATCTTATTTGTTATATTACTGCTGTGAAACATTATTTTATCTCTAGAACATGGCCCTATAGCCCGAAAAAACCCACAAGAACCTAGTGATTCCAGCCATGAAAGCCTTCGACAATACATTATTTTATCTATTAGAAAACTTGAATAACCATGTTTTAAAACTTATAAGCCTGTGAAATAATTTAAGTATGCAAATAGATTCCACTTGGTAGAATGAGGAGGGTGTTAATTGATAGTGCACCTGTTCAATGGTCTGGTCTGTAATAATCTTCTGATCAGAAGACATAGAAAACAACACCATCCTTGCTTGTTATTGGTTTCTTTTGCCAAATCTAACAGGAACACTTTAGGGTTATGGTATAATAAGCTGTTCTTGAATGCTCCATCTGAACTGTTGCGTTCATATCCAAATTAGACCTTGACACCTTCAGTAGATGAAAAGTTGATAAGAAAAAAGTTGGGTTTTTTTATCATTAGTACTAGTATAACTGTCAAGAGGCATAACTGTGATTGTCTTGGTGGTGGGCCACTGTCCAGTCTTATAACTTGGTCTCAGATGAGCTGTTTAAATAGGGGTGTATGAAGTACTCTCTTCAGGAAATAAGGATAAACTTGGTGCTGTTGATGGTGGTGTTGTTTTCTAACTATCCCAGACAATTCACTTGGTTTGCTTTTATTATTTTTGTCCTAAATATAGTGATTGCATGAAAATATGTGTAAATTCTTGTGTAGATTTCTCCTACTCTGAGGCCTTTGTAAGCTATTGTATTTTATATACACATTTCTCAGGAATGTTGCTAATATAATTACTTTGAGAATACACATTTTGAACACTTCTATTGGAAAACTTAATTGCAAATTTTGAAAACTGTAAATGTTGAAGGGTTATTGTCCTGATTTTAGAGTTTTTTTAAAAATACTGGTAGCCAGATTTTGTTCATTTTCACTTCCTTTCTGTTGAAATTGCCCACATGCTTGTGGATTTCATTGGCTTCTCTGTGTAGTATGACATGGTAGGCACTTGATGAATCAACCTGGGTACAGCATATTATTTGAGAACACAGAAATGCTGGACCACTCTAACAACTACCATGTCAGGCTACAATATTAATAATGGCTACCAGTATTAAAAACTCTAAACTCATATCAGTAAATAAAGTACAACACTCAAAAACAGGGGTATTCCAAAACAATCAGGACCAACTAATTACCTCCCAACAAAGGATCCCCCTAGGCAGTAAGAAGCCAGACCATGAAAACAACTAGGCCATTTACTGCTAATCAAGGTGGCTAATTGCTACATTCACACTTGCCTCAAACAGTCAAGTATTCTTTCTCTCACCCTGGACATTCCATTTTCGTAGTTTCCAACAGATCTCACAACCTCTGAGGATGCCTGCCCTAGATGCAGGTGAAATGTTAGGAGAGAATGCTTCTGGAACATGGGGATACAACCCAGAATGCACACAACAACCCAGAAATGAAAGACATAGAATCATAGAATCATAGAATCAAAGAGTTGGAAGAGACCTCATGGGCCATCCAGTCCAACCCCCTGCCAAGAAGCAGGAATATTGCATTCAAATCACCCCTGACAGATGGCCATCCAGCCTCTGCTTAAAAGCTTCCAAAGAAGGAGCCTCCACCACACTCCGGGGCAGAGAGTTCCACTGCTGAACGGCTCTCACAGTCAGGAAGTTCTTCCTCATGTTCAGATGGAATCTCCTCTCTTGTAGTTTGAAGCCATGGTTCCGCGTCCTAGTCTCCAAGGAAGCAGAAAACAAGCTTGCTCCCTCCTCCCTGTGGCTTCCTCTCACATATTTATACATGGCTATCATATCTCCTCTCAGCCTTCTCTTCTTCAGGCTAAACATGCCCAGTTCCCTAAGCCGCTCCTCATAGGGCTTGTTCCCCAGACCCTTGATCATTTTAGTCGCCCTCCTCTGGACACATTCCAGCTTGTCAATATCTCTCTTGAATTGTGGTGCCCAGAATTGGACACAATATTCCAGGTGTGGTCTAACCAAAGCAGAATAGAGGGGTAGCATGACTTCCTTAGATCTAGACACTATGCTCCTTGATGCAGGCCAAAATCCCATTGGCTTTTTTTGCCGCCACATCACATTGTTGGCTCATGTTTAACTTGTTGTCCACGAGGACTCCAAGATCTTTTTCACACATACTGCTCTCGAGCCAGGCGTCCCCCATTCTGTATCTTTGCATTTCATTTTTTCTGCCAAAGTATTTATACTTGGGTCCCATGTCCAAGATACCACGTTATGAACATATATCCAAATACACTATTCCAAAATCATTTGATGATGATGATGATGACGACGACGACGACTTGGGAAGTGTCCAGCATGTGAGCCAATATAATAGCCAGCAGAATGATCTTGTCTGCTGTGGACTCATCTTGTTGTGACAACAATAAAAACAACAACAATAATACGAAATCCCAAATACTTCTATTTCCAAGTATTTTGGATAAGATATACTCAACCTGTACATATAATTGCCATCTGAAGATGTCAGTGCCATGTGATCACTGCCTTTCGAAATATGTGTGGGCTTCCCAGTTAACACTGAACTGAATACATGCCTTTGCTGCGGCCCTAAACAAAACCTTTTGTTTGCAAGTAGCTGTCTTCCCCAGGTGGCATTTGTCAGGAGAGCATTCTGCTGGTTTATTGCTAGTAAGTTATTCATCCTTATGTCTCAGGTAGATCTTGTTGAGGTGTCATTTATAGCAATGAGTTTGCTCTGGCAGGGAGGGCAGGGAAAGCGGTACTGTCACACAAATGATTAATTCATCAGTGTAATAACTGTTCTGTATTTTCAGCTGTTTGGAGGCTGTTGATCTGCTGATCTAATAATTCTAGTAATGTCTAAACAATTTAATTTTCTGTCACTGATTGACAGTTGGTTGATTGCTTATGTTGCTTCTTCTCCCACCAGCTTTGACTGAAGGTTATGATGGCTCCCTTCATGAAAGCAGACATGGCAGTTCAGTGCAGATTCGGCGGCGGAAGGCATCTGGGGATCTTTACTGGGCATACTCAGGTGAGTTGGGCTGGACAGCACAGCAATGATGCAGGCTCTGGAGGTAATGTGTACAACAATAATGTGTCAGAATCAAAAGAAGAAATGTGCTCACCCAGAAGAGGACCGTGTATGCAGACCATTTCATCTGTATGGCCAATTCCACCATTAATCAGAGTGAGACATACGGCCAAAGCAGCAGATTTCACTGCCATAGAGATGGGTGTTGCCAAGAAGAAACAAACAGCAAGTCCAGAAGGGACAAACCACAAGTGAAGTTCTTCCTTGTGTACTCTCCTTTTAATTTTGGGCATTGTGTTTAATTTAGTAGTAACACTGAAGTATTTACCAGAGGCAGTCTTTTCAGTTATTTCCCAAACATGCTTTCCTTTTCTCTGCTGATTTTCATAGTAGCACCATAATTTTAGTGAAGTGTTTTGACACTTGCCTTTCATTTTTCATCAGTCTTGTATGCCATGATTGTCTATGCTCCTCATGAATTTGTGCCCATCCCCACTTATTGTCCACTGGTTTACACTGAGCATTATACACAATAAGCGATTGTGCCTTATTCTTGTCAGAAGAACTATTCTTGGCTCCTAATGGATTTTCAACATTCGGTATTCAATTGTAAGATTCTTATCATTGAAACGCCTATTTTGCAACTCATTTTCTTCCATTATTCAGACAAAGGTCTCATATTGCTTATCTCTCAGTTTAGAACAAATGTGCTTTCAGTTCCATCTCACTATAATGCATTAGTTCTGTTTGTAACTAACAGGCCTTCTACAACTTCTTTCCATATGTTTTAAGTTCTTAATTTGTCCAGGACGCTTGTGTTTTCTGACCTGATTGCTTCTGATCTTGGTTGCCATCGTTTTCATTTAGTTCCAAACCTGGGAAATTTAAATTATACTGGAACAAAGAAACACTCTTGGAATTCCTGAAAAGAGAACTACTTTGATACAACTACTTTGATACAAATGGGTGATGCCTGGCTCAACAAGAGTACATGCGAAAAAGATCTTGGAGCTTTAGTAGACAACAAGCTAAACAAGAGCCAACAATGTGATGCAGCAGCTAAAAAACCCATGGGATTTTGGACTTCCTCAAATGGAGTATAGTGTCCAGATCAGTAGAAGGATTTTTGCCCCTCTATTCTGCGTTGATCAGACTTCACCTGGAATACTGTGTTCAATTATGGGCACCACGATTCAAGAAGGATATTGACAAACTGGAACATGTCCAGAGAAGGGTGAATAAAATAATGAAAGGTCAGGAGGCTAAGTCCTATGAGGAGTGGCTTAAAGAGCTGAGTATGTTTAGATGGCAGAAGAGAAGGTTGAGAGGATACATAATGGCCATGTTTCAATATGTGAAATGCTGTCATAAGAAAGAAGGAGTAGGCTTGTTTTCTGCTGTCCTGGAGACTAGAACTCGGAGCAATGGGTTTAAATTACAGGAAAAGAGATTCCATCTTAATATTAGGAAGAACTTCATGACTGTAAGATCTGTTCAGTAGTGGAACTCTCTGCCTTGGAGAGTGGTGGAAGCTCCTTCTCTGGAGTCTTTCAAACAGATGCTGTATGGTCATCTATCAGGTGTACTTTGAATGTGCTTTTCCTGCATGGTAGAGGGCCTGACTCGATGGCCCAACTCTTCCAACTCTTATGATTCTAACCAACGAAAAGACTGTCTCTGATGTCAGCCAAATGTTTGTCAACTACAGAGTGTAGAATAGAGTCTCTGATATTAGTCTTAATCCTTGGATGACTTAATATTGGTGAAAGCAATCTTGAATATAAGTGGTTTTGGTTGTCTAGTGGAGTGAATGCCACTACTGTTTATTTGTCCAACCAATATAGCTAAAACTATAGGTAATACAAAACAGTTTTTAATTGAGTATGGTAATAAACTGCAAGCCAAACTGAAGAATTTGTATATCAAATTTGTACAGCTATCATTGTGCCCATTGCAGTAGTTAGAAACCACATAAAGATGTTGTTTAAAGTATTTCTACAATGGTGCAAGGATCTATTCTTAAATAAAACACTTTTTGGTACAATTTACAGTATTGTGCTAACCCTGACCCAACCAGCTGGACTATCTACCTATTTTATTGTCAATTAAGGTCTTTCCTTACCTATTTCTTAAGCCTTCAGAGCAGAGTTGCTCAGCTCAAATGTTTCTGGCTGCCTCAATTGACTCAAGAGGGTCTTGCTGCAACCATAAGCAAAGAAAGGGCTTTTGATACATGTGATCAAAAGTAGACCTTGTTGTACAAAGGTAGAGTACACACATACACATTTGAAGAGGTAGCAATCTTCTTAGAGTTGATGCCATAATTCTTGTATTCTTGCATTTTAGACTAGTCGTCAAAATTGGACTTACACTCAAATTCATCTTTCTGTCCTCACTTTCTCCTCATTCATACAAACGACATAATGCAATTGATCATATACAGGAAAGTGGAAAACATGTGGACCTTCAGATGTTATAGTCTGGCAGTTCGCATCAGTTCTTGCTAGTATAGTGATTGGAGAGAGATGGAAGTTGCAGTCCAACAATATTAAGAGTACCGCACGCTTGCTGTTTGTGTTGTACACTGTGGCACAACTGAACTGAAGAATTAACTTAAGAAGTAAGAAAAGGATTCTATAGCAGGCATATGAGACTTGCTAAAGATTAAATTAAGTCCATTCTGTTTTATTGCCTGCAGTATTGCTATATTTCCTGCCTAACTACGAAGACCTGGCTGTTCCGATGTGCCTTTCCAGAATAGGAAATCTCCAATACCAAGTCCCAGAAGCACTTTATTAGAATTAAGATTGCCGCACACTGCACACTGCACTTACCCTATAATCCTTTACATACCACCTGTCACATCAGCACTTTTAATTCTGTACCCATTACTCTGGCCCGGCCCAGTTTTATTGTGTCTTAGAGTATCGTTTATTGCTTGTTGTTTATATTGCTTTAATTGTTTTTAATTTGCTTAGGTTTTGTATTGTTATGTTGTGTATTGAGGCCTTGGCCTTTGTAAGCCGCATCGAGTCCTTCGGGAGATGCTAACGGGGTACAAATAAAGTTAATAATAATAATAATAAATAATAATAATAAGACAGTAGCGATCTAGTCCCCCCAGGGGTGAGAAAGGCTGTATATAAATACTGTAAATAAATAAATAAATCTAGACAGCTTTTCAAATTCAGTATTATCTTTTAAAAAAATTAAACCATGGTAGCAAAGTGGTCTAACATATCTTGCTGAAAGAGCTTCATGTTCATTTCAGGACACAATACAGAGTGCTGGTTATGACTATAAAACCCATTATGACTTAGGTCCACTCTGTCTGAAAGCCGGTATATTCCCATATGAGCCTGTCCAAACCTTATAATCTTTGAGGGAAGAACTTCTCTCCATCCCACCACCCTCATAGGTGTGTCTAGTGAAGGCACAGGAGGACCTTCTTAGTGACTTCTGCTAGGCCATGGAATCTAAGGAAAGCTTGGCTTGTGCCCTCTCTGCTTTTTTTGCACCATCTGGTGAAGACCTCCATATCTGAATAAGCATTCACCCTTTAAGTAGTTGGTGGCAGAAGGATATGTTAAAGAGGTACCGTTTTTAATATATAATACATTATTATGTGTTTTAAGTATTTTACAGTTATGTATTAATTGTTTAAACCTGTTTAAATGTTTGAATTGGATTGTTTTAGCTTTTTTGTTGTTGTTTTAACCTACAGTGTAAGCTGCTTTGGGTCTCATACTGGGAGAAAACTTTTAGTTTATGCTGGTGAATAAAATAGGCATTTTGCGCAATGGAACTGGGAGGAAATAATTATTCCACATTAATAAACATAAATGAGATCTCGCTGTGTACAATACTGCCTAAGAAGCTAGGATTTCTATGAAGCTACGCTGCAAAGACAAAGATTTAATTTCTGGACCCCTTCAGACTTACTCAAGTGCCTATCTTATGAACATAATTTTTAAATATCTGCTTTAGAAAAAGCTTATAATTAACTCTTCAATTTGATGAAACCAAATCAGATTGATGTCCTAAAGGAGGGGAAACAACTTGCTAAGAAAAAAAAGGTTTTTTTGGTGCCAGCTTTGCTGCACAAAATTATATGTAGCATTCTCAGTATAAAGCTTTGCATAACTGATGAGACATTTCTCCATTATACTGTCACAGTAGCTCAGATTAGGAATGTAAATCTTAATTTATTTCATTCTTGCATGTGTGAAAGAAAGAAAAATGAAATGTTTTCTCTTTGCTGGGCAAGATTATGAGAGCTGCACATTTTTTCCAATGGTTATTTGCAATGTAGGAAACCTTTTGCGAACATTTTCAGAAGGATTTTTGTGCTAAAACTTTTGTTTGAACAAGGGTGTTTTTTTATGCAAAATAAAATTTCTTGCACAAATCCTTCCAGAATTTGTGCAACACAAATTTTATTATTCCATTTTATATTATTTGTTATTGTTGATGTAGATGACAGTAAAAGCAGGAAATAGTCTTTTTACTCTCTTGCAGGAAATAGAAATCTCCCAATGGTTGACTTTTTTTCTTGATAGTATGTCTCAGTGCATTCAAATATGGTTTCTCATCAAGATTGACAAAACTATATGAAGGTTTTTACATTCCAAGTTTAAGATTTGCTTCCTCTTCAACTCTTACATAAATGTTTTTAAAAGTCTAAATTGTTGAATGGGATGAGATTGGGAATTATCTCCAATGTTGATCACAAGAAGTGGCCATTTATGCCATTGATAAGGAACAGGTTTGCTTTGCAGAGATGTATTCCCTTTTATCTATCGTGATAAAATAGTGAAGAGTAGAGACATCACACTGGCAGTGAAGGTCCGCATAGTTAAAGCAATGGTATTCCCTGTAGTAACCTATGGATGCGAGATCTGGACCATAAGGAAGGCTGAGCGAAGGAAGATAAATGCATTTGAACTGTGGTTTTGGAGGAAAATTCTGAAAGTGCTTTGGATCGCAAGAAGATTAAACCA